AGACACATTTACACAGGATAGACTTGATTTCTGATATATTTATGTGTCACATGTTGCACATTCTTCCTTTAAGTTAGCAAACAGAAATATCTATAATTATACATATCTACACTATATACTGAAGCAACAATGATAAGTGTCCTCCTACATCAAGTAGGCAGCAAAACCCAAGAGTACTGAATCTGAGCTGGAGTGTGTTTCATTGATAATGAACTTTTAATAGACAGGAGAAAGAAGTGCTGCTCTCATGGACTCTCATGGAGTCTGGTCCAGCACTAGAGGTATTAGACACATCAGCGTTTGATTGGGTAACACAAATGTTTCTTTAGAAAACACAGCGTGTGAAGTGTGAACATTGCTCTGAAAAAGAAAATGCAGAAAATGACAGAAAAGCTTCAAAGAGACATCGAACATAAAAAAAGTTTTCTGTCAGCATCGAGAATAAATAAATAAGTCCACTTTTGAATTCCTTCTTCCTAGGCAAACAAAACTCGGCATTAAATCTGCAGGCTGCTGACATGGCAGGATTTAGACGAGCAGCAGAACACAAACTATGGATCAATGAGCTGTTTGACACACACACACACACACACACACACACACACACACACACACACACACACACACACACTCTGCCTGAATGTTTTATGTGAATGCTTCAAACAGGCCATAATATAATTTGAATAGTTATGTCATTTTAACTGTGTCACCTTCTGCCTGCCTGTCCAATCAGAGAATTTGTCTCACTTTCTTTTTCCTCTTGCTTCCTCTTCTTCTTCTTCTTCTTCTTCTTCTTCTTCTTCTTGTGTTTCAGTATGGTCTACTCCTTGGTTACCTCAGAACAATGATACATCTCAGCAACTGGAGACAAATATACACACAGGATTTAACAGACTGCCATCATCGTGCTCTCTGATCCAGAGACAGGAAGCTGATAAGGAAAGAAGAGAAATACAAACTTTTTCTTTTTTTGTTTTGTTTTGCTGTGACGCCAAACGATGAACTGGAGGATGGGGGAGGAGGAGAGAGGAGAGAGGGGGGAGGATTCAAATCTGCCTTTTTTGCTTTCTCCCTCTCAACACTGACGGACGTATTTAAAGCTCAACTGTACATAAACGTGAACACTTAAAACTCCTGTTTACAGTTCGACTGGTCAAAGAGCGACCTGAGTTAATCACTGCCTGGCCAATGTTTGTACCCCACACACACACACACACACACACACACACACACACACACACAAAAACACACACACACACACACACACAGAGCCTCCTCTTGTGGTGGTATACTGTACCGACCGTTACGGTTCTAGCACCTGTAGCTCGGAGGACGGAGAGCACAGTAGCGATTGCACAGTTTGTCTCAGGCACAGCATGGTGAAGCACCAACCCTCAGTCATTCCTCCTCTTAACGCCTCACCAGACGTAGCGTCACCTGGTGAGCCACAAACGAGGGACAGGATGGACAAAAAAAAATAAAAGGAAGGACGGATCACACTGTACAGACAAGTGAGCGCTCTGAGGGGGAACACCAGAGCGGCCCGTCACCCTCATGTTTTCCAGCAGACTGAAACTCACCTATAACTGATTTATGATCCTCATCAAAAGGTACTCTGCCTCCTCAGTGTCGTCCAATAGTGTTGTTCTGTTGTGGGAATCTGAAGCACCAGTCTGAGCTTTTCACCGTTAGAGGAGCACACATTATTTGCACAATTAGCGTTTTCTGATCTTGCACAATATTTGCAATATTTGGGCGATGTATATTAGAGGTCATTTACGATAGTTTAGCCACACAGGTGAAGGTCTTCCAACACGTTTGAAAAACTCTAGTCCTGTTCCAATACATGGAGGCAATGTGAACCTTTTGTAGCTTGAATTCACACCATGCTCCAAAAATGTCGTCTCTTCACTCTTCAGACTGATTCTTTCTATGTCCATTTGTGAGATTCTGACCGCTTGCCTCCATGTTTTTTTTTAGTATTAAACATGACTATATTTTGTAACCACGCGAGAGTAAAATCAGATGATAGAGGTGCCTCCAATCAACCTGTCTTTATCTTTGATTTGAATACAAGCGAGTGTAGCAGATGAAAACTGTAATATATATAAAAAAGAATATCATGACGCCCAGAGAGAGAGAGAGAGAGAGAGAGTGATTTCCCTCCACACACAGGTCAGAGGTCAGGCTGCAGAGCGATAAAGACGGCTGCTCTGGCTCCACGTTGTTGCTCACAGAAAACGTGTGCAGGGCAGATGTTCTGAACCTGCAGCTTCCATGTGTAGCACAGTTTGCTAACCATCCCCATCACTCTTTAAATCCACGCCATCGTCTCCACACGATGAGCTCACTTTCTATGTCGCCGCTCGAGGAGCAGACGGGAGGACTGCCCGGTTATTGTTGTTTTCTCTTATTCAAGCATTTTCTATCCTTACTGTGTATGTGACCAAACAAGTTGAATTAACATATTGTTTATGAAATAAAATATTTTAAAATCAGACGATTGGATTATCATTATTCAAATATTGTGTTCTCATGTGTTCAGGTGTTTGATGGGATCATTTATATAAAGCACTCACATTTGTTTCTATGTTTTCATGAAAAATAGAAATCTTTGAACATTTCTGCAGTGTACTCCTTCATTCTTGGTTCGAGTGATTAAAAGCTTCATCATACACTTAATGTAGCAGCATGATAATATTACCTCTCTTAAAGGTCACAAATTACTCAAGATACACTTTACCAAGTTTTTAAAACTGCTAAAATTCCATCAGATACAAGTTCAGTCCCGAGCCCTCTCCAGATACACAAGGCTTTTATTTCTGCCACATGCCGGGGAACAGTGCCTCAAATTTACCACAGAGAAGACCCAGTGGGACAGGAAGTGATAGACTGTAACAACATTAAACTATTTTCAGAATAAAACACTTGTCCTTATATGTGTTTGTTGATATGTTTATAAGGGTTTTATATGGTTTATTCCACATACATCGTATTATCTTGCACTGTGATTACCCCGGGAACTCCTTGGTCTCGGGACTCTAGCTGTCCGGCGGTGCTGCTACCTGCTGCGGGGGACGACAAGGAAGCAAGGAGCCATGCCAGAACGGAGCTAACATGCAATGTACATGTATCTGGTGGAAGTTCTGGGTTACACTAATATGTTTCCCTAGCGTATCTACAAACCCCCAATGATGAGAAAAGTCCATCCTCTCATCCGTCTGCCTTCTCATCGTAAACAATAGGACATGGAGCGAGAAAGCACCGAGTACACCTCAAGCCCTTCCAGAGAGGGGGCGTGGTCAGACACAGCTCATTTACATATTTAAAGGTACAGACACAGAAACAGCCTGTTCTGAGCAGGGCTGAAATAGAGAGGTTTATAGGCATGATCAAATACAGGATCAGAGTGGATTTAGAACAAGAAACTTCACACACATGTTTTGAGGAGCTCTGAGAATTATTTAAACTGGTTGAAGAGGAGGAGAATATGAGACCTTTATACTGCAATAATAAAAAAACTAAAAAGTTGGGTTTTAGAGTACATGAGAAGTATCAAAATCTACACCTTTATATAGAATCAGGTGACAACACAGAATATTAACTTTTTTTTTGTTTTGTTTTTGTTTAAAACAAGACTAACTTCATAAAAGCAGTCACATTTTGTTTTTGTCTTTTCTTATTTGACCCAGGTCATGTGACAAGGAAGTAAAAATAAAAAATGTCACAATAAAAGCCCAGAGAAAAGAGTGTAGACAGACAGACATAAACTTCTAGCAGATTATTAATACAGATAATTACAGATTAGTATTAGTTCTAGTATGAACATTATTAAACCTATTTATGATTTTTGGGCCTTTTTGTCTTTATTATGTCGGATTCAAACCTACAACCGCTGCAATGAGGACTCTATCCTCTGTACATGGGGGCTGCGCGACTTGACCATGACGCTATCCGTTACCCTTTTTTTTTAAATGCATGCCTCACTATGAAGGTCATAGAAGTGTCTGAATTTAAGAACACAAATGTATGCACAACATACCTGCCAACATACCTGCCTACCTGACAATAAATAATAACTTTCCTGACGGTTTATCAGATACACATTAAACACAGTTCTGTGATCCACTGTCTGTACAGAAATGTTTGATTCATTCCTTTGTTATGAGGTTAACACGAGAGCTTTATTTAAACTATTAAATCACAAAGTTCGCAGCATTTTAACAAATGAGCCTAAATGTTTTTTCAAAGAACGGCTCCATATACCAACCGTACGTATGAGCACACTGATGGTAGAGACTGCTGAGTAATAAGACCATCAGAAGTAATCCATTCATACACATCCATATGAACACACACACACACACACACACACACACACACACACACACACACAGATAAACTAGCAGCCCAAGGCACGAGAGGAAAGCAATGTTTTCAGACCGCTTTCACAAGCTCAAGTCCATTTTCCATGTATTGTGTGATGTCATTGTTTTGCTCTCGACAGTGAGACTGACTATCTGGGAGAGAGTGACAGAATCGTTTCAATGTGGCTGTAAAAGAGAGAGAGGGAGTGTGTGTGTGAATGTGTAGGTGACCGTGTGTGTGTGTGTGTGTGTGTGTGTGTGTGTGTGTGTCAGAGCAGACGCGCAGATTGGTGACAGCCTGTCTTCCCAGTATGCACCTGGGTGCTGTCCATGTCACTGCCATATATTTCATCATAATTAAACCAGGCACACTCCGCTGACCCTTTGGCCCCTCATTGTGTGGTTGTGTGTGTGTGAGAGGTTGTGTGGTTGTGTGTGTGTGTGTGTGTGTGTGTGTGTGTGTGTGTGTGTGGTTGTGTGTGTGTGTGTGTGTGTGTGTGTGTGTGTGTGTGTGTGTGTGTGTGTGGTTGTGTGTGTGTGTGGTTGTGTGTGTGTGTGTGTGTGTGTGTGTGTGTGTGTGTGTGTGTGTGTGTGTGTGTGTGTGTGTGTGTGTGTGTGTGTGTGTGTGTGTGTGTGTGTGTGTGTGTCTGTGTCTGTGTGTGGTTGTGTGTGTGTGAGAGGTTGTGTGGTTGTGTGTGGTGTGTGTGTGCGTGTGTGTGTGTGTCTGTGTGAGCTGACTGGCAGTGATGTCTTTGGATTAGTTCCCCTCCCTTCACTCCCCTCTGTTTTTGTTCTCCTTCCCAAATCCTCTCCAGCATCCCGCTCTCCTCTTGGAGCTCTGAAATGACATTGAGCTCTTGTCCTGCGGCTCTCGCACACTGTGCTCAGCTGTCTGGAACCCGAGGTTTGTCTGTAAAACTCTGTTCCTTCAACTTTTCACAGTGCACACACGGCATGAGTCTGAGGCTAACTCATATTGGTGCTTTTCTATGCGGAGGAAAAACAGGCTCTGTGACTCATGTTGTGTTGGAACACAGTTTTCAAAGCTGTGATAAGACAGTGAGTCAACTTTTGGAGGATGGACTGATCCGGGTCACGGGGAAGCTAGGGTTATTCTAGGCTATCTACCATGAAATACTAAGACCTGTGAACCAGTCATGGGGACTGGAGTCACATGACTTATCTCAAGCCAGTTTGAGGACTTGACTGTCATTGACAAAAGACTTCATTTAGCCTTTATGACTTGAGACCTGAATAAGGCCCCTGTGTCCACCTAGCATTTTGTTTAAGGGCAGACAAGCACTGACTTTTCATGAAGTGCTTGCGCCTGGAGAAAAAAGCACGACTCCTGTCTCCATGACAACAGTCTGTTTACATCGGCCGCTGTATGACCGTCATTGTTCCGTGGCTTTTTACTGCATGTTTTATATTTGAGATCGTTTTTTCCCCACCAGACACGGATCGTTTTTTCCCCACCAGACACGGAGCAAAGGGGAGTTCAACTTTTCTTTCTGAAAAGTTGAACGATTTTAAACTCAAAGTGGTCAGCGCAGCAGCACAAAAAGGTGGAGCGCTTGTAAAAAATACACTGGACGCTGCGCCTGCTGCAAGCGCTCTCTGCTCATTGAAAACAAATTAGAATAAAGACTCTGGCGCTCAGAAATAAACGTTAGGTGGACACGGGGCCTTAGACTTGAGATAGATGACTCATAATTACTTTAAAAAAAAATATTTGCATGTTTGTAAGATTGAGAAACATGATGGTTAATGAAGTGCAATGCAGAGTGCACAGGCAGTAGACCAGCAGCAGAGGCGCTGACACACTAACATTACAGTAAATTTGATAACCGTCTTGAGTCAGACAACAAGATGTCTGACTTTTCTCTCTTTGCGGTTAGTAGAAAGCTATCAAGCGAGCTAGCCTAGCTTACATTAGCACAAATGAATAGACGTAATAGAAAAACACTTCAGTTTAAGCTAAAGGCTAGTGGTCCGTATTTTTCTTCCATTCATTTGAGATAATCTAAACTAGGCTATCTAGCGGATAGCTTTCTATTGAAATTGGTATCTCTTCTTGGATGAATCTGGAGAAGACGTTAGGCACATTTCCTATAATGTTGGTGTGTTCCTTTGAACTTAACAAGTTATTGAAGTTTCCATGTAAAATTCAGTAATATCAGATATGTTCAGATTTTAAGTTATATATTTGAATTGATTTTTATGAACTTGTTTTTATTGTATACACAATGACAAAGTGTCATTTTAGAAGCATGACAGAAAGATTATGAGAAATGGTAAATGGACTTGAGCTTGTATAGTTCTTTCTAGCGGGAAACCTCTGACATGTGGCTGCAGGAGCTGGGGATCAAACCCTGAACCTTCCGGTTAGAAGAAGACTGACTCTACCAACTGAGCCACAGCCACTTTGTATGTGGTTAAGGAGTCATACATATTCATGTTAAGGTTTTTTAATGTGGACCAGGAAGAACAGCTGAGCTCTCAGGTACAGGTAATGGGGATCCTAACAAATAAACAAATAAACTTGTGTTTACACTTTAGAGAAGTCTTTAGTGAATACAGTGGCTGCTGTATTATTAGAGTAATTTAATGACATGAAAATAAATTTCATGTCTAATGTGCAGTTTTATAATACTACAGTTCATTAAAGCAGAGAATGCTAACACCATCAGGTTCTGTTCCCCTCGCTAACAAGTCATCCCAGTCGTTGCTCTGGGTGTTGCACTAAAACAACATCGGGGTCAGTGTCGGGGTCTGTGAGTCAGCTTTTTGTGTTCTTTGACTTCTGTTCACTGACTCAGCCGGTTTGTCCCCAGAACACCTCTCAGCTCTAATGCCGTCTGAACACAACCCAGGGAGCTGGTCCTCCTGCCTTTCACCTTATCACACCAACTTCTGTCTTCTGATTATTACGCTTTCACTGCAAGTTCTTCACCTTCTTTAACTCTGATCCTTTCATCCTCAGACACACAGAGGAAGTGTGTGTGTGTGTGTGAGTGTGTGTGTGTGTGTGTGTGTGTGTGTGTGTGTGTGTGTGTGTGTGTGTGTGTGTGTGTGTGTGGAGGCAGCTAAGCATTATGGGTTTGGGCATGCTCTGTCATGCTGTCTTGCAGAG